AGAGCCTGGAACTGTACCAAAAGCAGCAAGAGAAGAAGCAGTTGGTAATGGAGGACCACGAGAGTGTGGGGGTTGAGGGAGAGAAGGGAGACATGGGTGGTTTTAGGAGAGAGGGAGGAGAACATAAGAGTCGGCTAGCAGAAGATGCCAATTCACAGGCGGAGAGAAGAGAGGGAAATGAGGTCAACACACTTAGAACTCCCCTGACAACCACTCTTGACGGTCATAAGGTAGCTCAGAATCCAGACAGGGAGAGGGAAAAGATACCAGCAGAGCCTCCAGCACCACCAAGTGACACTCTGCCACCACTACCAGCTGTTGACAAGTCAACACCCAACAAAACAGTAGTGACTGGAGAGGTTGGAAAGAAGGAAGAGGAGCGAGGTGGTATAGGGAATAGAGACGAAGATGCCATGACAAAGTGGCTGGAAGTTGCCAAGGGTGGCCTATCCACTGACTCAACTGGCTCTGCTCACTCACCATCTGTGCCTCATAGCTGCCAACACAAGGCCGTAAGAAAACATGCATAATAACAGGAGCTGAAGCGTGTGCGACATTGCAGTGTGTAAGGCATGTCGTGTACGAAAATCATGTCGGAACGCATAGTTTACGTGCTAAACCTCCTTAATTCAGGCCTATATAGCTCCTGTTAACTACATGTTATGGTTTACTACGGTTAGTAGGAGGGCTCTTTGCAAATCATTGTTTACAGGGTCCAACCCCTGAGCAGATGAAGGCGCGGGAGCTCTACCTGAAGCAGCAACGAGATCGCCTGGTAGAGGCCAAGAGGAAGCAGAGGGCCACCACCCAGCAGGCTTCCTTGGTGGGCAGGACCAGGGGGCAGTATGACAGACGAGAGGTGTCCAGTGAGAGAGAGGCAGGGTCCACTGGGGTCAGTGGTGGGGGGAGACGAGGCAGGGACACGGGAATCCTCTCCTCTGCCATTGCTGGCAACTTGAAGAAAGTGTAGCCTTGTTTTAGTTTGTGTCAACACTCGTACCTTGCTAGCTTGTTTCTACGCTTTTTTTGTATCACCAGTAATGAGTAATTTTTTCATTATAACAGATTTTTATGCTTCATTAGCACATGACACATGACAATAAAGCTGCCATTTGAAGGAGCACAGAACAGTATATAGGTCAAAATAATGGGCTAATACAAAATACGGAGCTATGTATCATCGAGTTTCTTTCGTTTTGCCGGACTCTCCACCTGGTCTTCCGACTTTTCTTCCTCGTCGCTATCTTCATCATAATCCACCAGACTCTTCAAAGCCTGAAGTGAATATATAGGCACAAGGACATGTGGTTGAACCTCAGTAGACAGACTGGGGGGCCATTATTAAAACTGCTTGGTTCTTACATCAGAATAATGAGAAGAGGGCAGGGCTATGGGTTAGACAATCTTAACAAGAGTATGCACAGCAAGGATTATTTGTCAGTGAGTGTGCATCACTGTGCATCACTCTGCCTGTCTGTTTCTGCCACTTGCCACCATTACCAATACCTGTGTAACAATAGGGGTCTTGATGGAGGATGACTCAGACTGGGGTGCTCTATTTAGAGCTGCAGGTGGTCGTGGGCTGTAGGAGACTTGTGTGAAGGGGGAGGGAGCCGGGATAGGCTTGGAAGGAGAAGAGGAGGAGGTGGAGGAAGGTGGGATTGATGTAAGTGTGGCATCCAAGCGGATTGTGGGAGGGCTGTGAGGAGATGAGGAGGTGGAGGTGGTGGAGGTTGTGCTAGTGGTGCTTGGGGGAGAGGTGGAGGAGGTGGGAACAGGGAGGGAGTGGAGAGGGGGAGTGGGGGAGGAGGTGAAAGGATCCGTGTAGATGGCCGTTACCTCTTCCTCTTCTTCGTCAAACCACGCCTCCTCGTCCTCACCCATTTGCCGGGGGTCCCTACGGTAACGAGTCATCACCTCACCTCCTCCATGCAGAATACCAGGGCTATAAAACAGGGACAGAGAGAGAAATATTAATGGCTAAATAGGGACAGGGAAATTCCTACTGTAGCACTCTTAGTACAGTGTGATTGTGGGTATATAAACAGTTCCTGCGTTGCACAGTGACAGTGCAGTCTGACAGAGATTGGGCTCATGAGAATAGGACTCTGGTATCATACAATAGTGGTCATGATCTTTTATAGCTAGCTACTGCAGTGGTGATAAGTACAACCCATAGTGGCTAAAAAAACAGAAAGTGGTACCAGAACATAACCATAACATCACAACAAACAAGGTGATGAACAATTAGACAGTTTGACACCAACGTGACAAGCCATGTTACTTTAACATCACAGCCATACACTTTCATACACCCACAAAAAGGTGTGGTACAAGATATACACAGTACTTTGCACAAGGCACTGTTTGTCCTACGAACATGTAACTTCATTTATCACTAAGACGAACAATTCTCAAACATACACCCCATATTTGTAGACAAAAATTTATCATTCACATGAAAAGTTTTCAAACCTGCAAACCGTCGCATGGTGTACAGCGGCTAGCACAATGAAGGTATATACAGACCCTCACGTGGTGTATGGAGGCTAGTGCACACCCTCGCGTGGTGTAGGGAGGATGGTGCACACACCCTTGCGTGGAGTAGGGAGGCTGGTGCAATTAAGGTGCAGACCTCTCACGTGGAGTATGGTAGCTGGCACACACACCCTCGAGTGCTGTAGGGAGGCTGGCACAATGAAGGTGCAGACCCCCACGTGGAGTATGGTAGCTGGCACACACCCTCGAGTGCTGTAGGGAGGCTGGTGCAATTAAGGTGCAGACCCTCACGTGGTGTATGGTGGCTGGTGCACACACCCTCGCGTGGTGTAGGGAGGCTCACACAATGAAGGTGCAGACCCTCGCGTGGTGTATGGTGGCTAGCACAATGAAGGTGCAGACCCTCGCGTAGTGTATGGTGGCTAGCACAATGAAGGTATATACAGACCCTCGCATAGTGCACGGAGGCTGGCGTGCAGACCCTTGCGTGGTGAACAATGAAGGTCCATGCTCTACACGGTGGCTGGCGCAATGAAGGTGCACACTCTTGCGTGGTGTATAGTGGCTGGCGCACACACCCACGCGCAGTGTGGCGCAGACCTTTGCATGGAGTAGGGAGGCTGGCGCATTGAAGGTGGACACCCTTGCGTGGTGTATGGTGGCTGGCGCACACACCCTCGCGCAGTGTAGGGAGGCTGGGCACAGACCCTTGCGTGGAGTAGGGAGGCTGCACAATGAATGAACAGATACATGCATGGGCAGGTGCAATGAAGGTGCAGACCCTCGCGCAGTATATGGAGGCTCGCACAATGAAGGTGGACACCCTCGCGCAGTATAGGGAGGCTGGCACAATGAATGAACAGATACATGCATGGGGAGGTGCAATGAAGGTGAAGACCCCGGCGTGGTGTACATATGTAAGTGTGTTTATATAAAGATGGAGATAAAAGTGAAGGCTCTGTTATGGTTTAAAAAGTCATCACAAACATTATCCAGTAAGGGTGGGCAGTATAAACAAGCTTACTTTCACTGTCACCTTTTCATCATTAACAATAAGAATACACCTGGTGCACACTGTTTTCTATTTCAAGTTTAGTAGAAAGTGTTTACACTTTTCGTAGATAGATAAAGGCGAAGAAGCAAAACCATTTAGCAAAAGGGAGATGGAGAAAATGGTCTACCTCGCAGTGTTTTTTGTCACTGGAGCCATGGTTTGGATCTGGACAGGATAACGCTGTTGTTGGAATGAACTGCAGTTACTACCTCCAACACCAACAGCACTCTGCTAGGATGGGTGGTAGCTTAACTCCACTAGTATTGCTTTCGGTGCATCCCACATTAGACTGCCAACCATGGTTTTTGCCATCACATAAGAATGATTGTGCGCCAGGAAATCGCTTTGGAGAGGTACTGCAGGTTCGGCCAGGCACCAACATGACCCTGCTGCTTCCTTTCTACTGCAGGACTACTTCTGAGAACCTCCACGCAACATAGAGATGTTATGGACGGCTGCTCTTAAACCACCAGTATCCCACAAGAAATGCGGTTCTTCCGCTCCCGTGCAACATCTCAGAGCTGACCCAGTTCATGTGTGCAGACCTGAACAGAGAGGGACAGTTGTGTGGGAGTGTCAGGACGCTATGCTCCACCGCGGTCTATTCATATGCTCTCCACTGTGTCAACTGCACTGACTATGGCTACCAAAACTGGCTCAAGTACGTAGCAGTTGCATTTGGTCCTCTCACTGCCTTCTGTGTCATCATCATAGTCTTCACATCAGTGCCACCTCTCCATACCCTCCACGGATACATTCTCTTCTGTCAACTGTTCTCCTTGCCAATCATCTATCGCTTATTTCTAACTAGTTATGGCTACATGTATTATAAAGGTACAAGATGGTCCGTGAAGATTTACAGTAGTTTCATCGGCATATGGAATCTTGATTTCTTCCGTCTGGTGTACGAGCCATTCTGTCTCCATCCAGACATGACTGTCATACAGAGTCTGACACTTGACTATCTTGTTGCACTTTACCCTCTCCTTTTAGTAGCCATCACATACTCCCTTGTTTATCTGTATGGCAGAAACTGGAAGGTGGTAGTTTTTCTTTGGAAACCACTTCGCAGAATACTGAGACCACTCTTTCGTGATCTGGACATTAGAGCTACTCTGATAGAGTCCTTTTCCACCCTCTATCTCCTCTCTGTTGTCAAGATCCAGTCAGTGTCACTGGATCTCTTAGTCCCAACACCACTCTACTATGCAGACGGTACACAGGACAGTCACTACTACCTTTACTTAGCTCCGGATGTGGTCTATTTTGGTGACACTCATCTGCCATATGCTCTGGTGGCACTTATCCTGTCTGTAGCTCTGGTTGTCTTTCCAACACTGCTACTCTTCCTCTACCCTTGTCAATGTTTTCAGAGGTTCCTCAACAAGACAAACTGCAATTCACAAGTCCTAAGAACATACATGGACGTACTTCAAGGCCACTACAAAGACGGAACAGACAACACAAGAGATTTTCGATACTTTTCAGGAGTGTTTCTTGTAGTAAGGATAGTTGCTGTAGTTCAGTTTCCGCTAATGAATTCCAATTTAGCCTTTGTCACTTTAGGATTGCTTGTGACAGTGCTGACATTCACAGTGGCAATCCTCCATCCTCAGAGATGTCACACTCACTACATTCTGGACTCTGTTTTCCTCTCGTTCCTTTCCTTAATGTATTTTGCTATAATTGGTAGTGCCGTGGGCATACACAATACCATTCCAACAAGGATTTCCTACTTATTTTGTACAGTCATGGTTATGTTACCATTACTTTTCTTCACTTTCTGTTGCATACATCGAAACAAGAAGATACCAAAGAAGGTTCTGACCACAGTGTGGAGACAAGCTAGGAGGTGCTTCGGTACATATCGGTTACTACGATCTCTTGCTTGATGCAATTGGCAATGACCGAAGATGCATGCAACGTACAAAGGACATAGATATTATGTGTTTGTTTATTATCAAAGACACACCAACAAATTTCACACGCCACACAAATATCTTGTTTTCAGTGTTGTATGTACTTTCTTGTGTGCATAATATCAGTGCAAAATCCAAATCGTAAGAATTTTCCATTTGTCATAACTGAAGCAGAGCTGGTGCCAGTGCACCAATTATAATGGTACAAGTGTACTTCTGCAACTGCAAACAACCTTACCTCGTACATCGCGGGTAGGGACAAAGTAATTCCTCCACGTGTAAACTTTCCGTTTCTGTTTTACAGGCACTAGCAGCTTATTCAAATTTGCCCAGCAGTTACGGTTCCCTTCACGCTTATATACGATGTGGCCCCATGATATAGCTACACGTTTCGTACCACTACAGCTCACACACAGTTTATGACCCCCAAGCAACACATGCAGGTACTACATTACCGATACTACTGTCTTATAGCTACAAACGCACAAAGAGACTCACACTGCAGGGGCAGAGTCCTTGTTGTCCCGTCTATCCATCTCCTGCTCGTGTTTCAGCCTCAGTGCATTGAATGTGTCCACGTACTCAATGTGTTCCAGAGTGGACCAAAAGTTCTCTACCACATAGCTCACCAGAGACTTGACGTTCTCCTGTGTCGACAGTAGGAGAAGATCAGTGGTGGGACAATTTTCAGTTAGGCTTTACCAAATAGGTGTGCTTTCTCCATTAACAATTTGGTAATCTTCAATAAGTCTTAATTCTTAATTATATAGACAAATCGAAAAGTGTGCACCCAACTTACCACTCTGAGGTATTCAAAGAGTTCAATGATAGAAGAGTTGAGGAGGTTGTATCTCCGTCCATTGGCCTTAATAATGGGGGCAAGGAGATTGTCTCTGACTATGTAGCGATTGTAGAACTCGTCTTTCAGACCCACAGTCTTCCGACAGAATCTCAGAGCGGCTGAGACGGACAGGGAGGAGGAGGAGGAGGGGGAGAATAGAGAGAGGGAGAAACTTGATGCTGTGTACACAAAACAATGAAGTAAAAAGTGAAAAACTCAGATAAATAGAGGCCTCTCTGAGACTTTGTATTGAAGCTGGAGAAAATGCACAGAAGCAGCCTCGCTTGATGCATGCTTTCAACAAACAAATGGGGCGAAAATAAATATTCTTGAGCTGAGCGGTCACTCCATCGACATTATTTTGTGAATTTACGTTTGTCAAACTATAAACTATTATTTATGTATCCATATGCTTTTTGGGAAGTGATTTTAGCTCATGGCCTTTCAAATAACTAATTCACAAAATGACGCGGACTGACAGACACGTTCCTACCAGTGACAGGAGGGAGCTCACGTCCGTACTACTATCAGATGTTCCCTTCCAGTCTGGCCTATGCTGAGGCTCTGACTCAGCTCATGCAACATGTGGGCTGGACTAGACACGGGATTGCTTTCAACAGTGTGGAGACAATGCAGAAATCTGTCCTCAACGACTTCGCCCTCAAATTCAGTACGTTTCTGCCACTGACCGAGTACATTGGGTAACACACAGCTAAATTGCAGTGTTAGCTCAGACTGCGGAGTGTCGTGGGTTGGAATCCCACCTAGGGCAGCTCTTCTTTTTCCTTGAATAAAAGAGCTGTCCTGGGTGTAGTTGACTTGTTTGCTGTGCCTTTGCCTTTCTACCCTCGTAGTTTTCACATGGATATCTGCTGATGTAGCCATATGGCTGTAGCCTAGTATAAAGTGATGTTCTAAATGAATGGACTGATAACTTCAACTTTCCCTCAAATTCAGTATGTTACTGCCATTTTACGTGTGTACGAGTACATTGGGTAACACACAGCTGAGCTGCCCTGATAGCTCAGTTGGTAGAGTGCTCACCTAGACTGCAGAGTGTCGTGACTGACACTGGTGTACACTTGTCAACTACGAGGTGTAGCAAGGCAAAGGCGAAGCAAACAAGTCAACTACACCCAGGACAACTCTTATTTCCAAGGAAAAAAGAAGAGCTGAGCTGCCCTGGGTGGACCCACGACCCTCTGCACTCGAAGCAAGCACTCTACCAACATGTACAGTTGGTAGCATAATGTACAGGAATAACTTGCAAATTGGCCATTTTCTACTTTCATACTGCCACATCCCCCCATTATACTCTCAATATGTACGTATAGAGGTGGCAACGGGGAGGGCCGACATTCCCTATGAGAACCTTGGTCAACTGGGGGTCCAGGTGTACGGGGGATGCCCCCCGGAGTCCCGTTCCACAACCCCCTCCTCTACAACCAGCAGCAGCTCCAGCAGATCCTGGCCAACCTGGAGAAGATCGCCTTTCTCAAACTATCTCACGTACGTACGTACGTTAGACCAGTTATACTCTACTGCTGAATATGTACAGATGCTACATGTACTAGAGGAATGCAACGCATTTTTGGCGAGCGAAGTGGACATTATCTTTTTCGCGCATTTTAGCAATCACGTAGAAACATTACGGTATGTTGGTCCGCTCTCGCCCTCCCACCCCCAATGGATACAGGACTCTTCATCCCAGTTATTAGAGGTTGAAATCTCTGCCGATACTGTGGCCGCCTCCCTCGTCGGAGGCCACACCCACCACCTTCATCTTTCCACTGAGGAGGACCCTGCTCAATGACATCGTAATTACTGCACTCTCTCACTCTCACAGATATTGTAGGATTAAGAAGCACATGTACAGTTCATGTCAATACGTAACCGTATATTCCCTAAAGGCTTTTTGTCATACTCTCCATGAATATTTTTTTGTTAGTTAGTGTGAAAAGAGACAGTTGTTGCACGCGTCAGTGCATCTTATACAAAAACTTGCAATATAATACTACATCTATGACATTGATGGTTCGGTATGGAGCACCGGGTCTGATGCAGTTTATAATTCATGGTCTATTGGCTCTTGAGATTCTCTTGTTTCTGCAGCTCGATGAGCATCTTTTGGATGTGGAGCATGCCGTGGTCTGTGATCATGTTGCTGTCCATGACCAGCTCTGACAAATGTGATGGAGCTGTCCAGTGGGCTCTGATGGGCCCACGTCTAAACAGGCTACCATACCAGAGTGATAAACATAAACGAGGGTGCAAGGCAATAGTCAACAAGTTAACAACACCAAGAGCTATATACCCTAGGTGGGATTCGGATGCACAGCATTCTGCAGTCTATGGGCAGTGTGCTCTACCACTAAATTAGCTATGTACCTGGCAGCTCACCTCAAAGAACTTTGCCACAGCACACACCCTCACTTAGATATAGCCAAAGGCACCATTAAAGCTCAAAAAGTGTATATACCTACTCTGCTCCCTCTCACTTAGCATTTTGTGCTATAGGTGTGAGGTTTTTTGAAGGAACCTATTCATGCATACAGTATGACACTCCCAAGAGAGCACTAGTCACGTTCACTTTTAGGCATGAACAAATCGAGCTCCTACCTTGCGTTGGTGGTCTCACTAGCAATAATATGGATGATCTTCCCAGGGAGAAAAAGAAGCATTGCCTGCTTGGCTTGCATCTCCGGTTCCCTCTCACCTCCCTCCTCTCCCTCCACCCCTACCACCTGTCCACCTCCGCTTCATCGTTTGTATCCTCCTGTGGAGTGTTACACTGCTTTCTTCCAGTAATGAGGTAGTGGAGGGGAGGCTGGAGCATGGCCTGCTAAATTTCATGTGACTCACATGCATACAGCATGTGGCACCTTCTCTATTCCTCTAGCAAGTTTAGTGGTCAGTTAAATGGTAGAGGGTTTCGTTTATTCTCTAGGATTCAGATCAGTGGTAGCTAGCTATACATAACTGTCTCAAGGAAGTGCTTTGCCGCTGGACGACGAAGAGCTGCAGAGACTGATAGAGCAGGCCAAGAGAAA